TGCACTGATGAGCGACTGCAGGTACTCGGAGGATTTGCTCAGGATCACAACTTTGGGCGTCTTGGGGCAGCTGGAGAGCCCGGGCACCTGGTCCCGCAGGGCCAGGAAGCGTGAGCGCAGGTCATTGCGCCGCTTGCGCTCCAGGTAATTGTGGTTTTTCCTCTTGGCCACGTCCTCGCTGTCGGAGCCAGGGCTGCTGCCAGCTTTCGGCAAGTCGGGCTCAAGCAGCGTGATGGCAGGGGGCGGGTAAAAAAACCTCGTCCTGCTGGGGTGGCTCTGATGGGGGGCAGGCATCCGGCGGCGAGCGGGCGGCGTAGTTGTGCTGCTGCTGGTGGACGGAGATGTGGAAGAGTTTCATGCAGGGGTCCAAGGGGTCAGCACGCAGTGTGATGGTGACTGGTTTCCTCATGCTGAGTGATTGTCTCTTCTCTACTGTCACCACATCAATCTCCTCACCTTCTGCTCAAAAAACCAAAAACAAAACACAGGGGTGGGGAAGTCCCCATCAGTCGGGAGTCCCTGGGTACCCCTCATCACCCCGCTGGGGCTCCCCACTGCTATCCCACAAAGGTTTGCTCACGCACTGCAAAACCACTTGGTGACCCTCCAGAAGGGATTACACCATCTAAATGCTTTTCCAATACCATTGCATGGGAAGGAGGTTTCCCTCCACATTCCCCTGAAATTGGGATATGCCTTTACTTCTGACTCCCTTCTGCACCAGGAGCAACATGTGTCCAGGATAAAGGATCACTCAGCAAAAAAACACCCAAGTCCGCCTGTCTGGCAGGGGCACAGGAGGAGCAGGATGCTGGGGATCTGGGACAACCTCATTCCAAAGTTCATCCTGGTCGGGAGCTTTCATGGTCCATTGGAATTGTAAATGAGGGACGCGGGGTAGAGCTGCCCTTTGTTCCCCTTGGCTGCAGTTTCCCACTTGGGTGACTTGTTACTTTTCACAAGTGATAAACCCCATTCAGCCCAGGCTCCCTGGGGACAGAGGGGACAATCCCCCTCAGTGCAGGGTGGGAGGGAGAGGTGGCAAAGGGGTCCCTCCAACGGATTCTGTGAACTTTGAAGGCATCCCAAGCCCAGGAGTCAGTGAGGGGGGAGGTTATCTGAGCTGTGAACAGCAGGACCCAAAGAAAGCATCACTGGACCCAAAGCACCCTGCCCCTTGTCATTGCAGCTTGTCCCACCCCAACACAGCCCAGTGGCACAAAGCTGGTTTCTGGGGACAGTGGGGTGACCCGGCTCCAGAAGTATCTGCAATCGCTCTCCCTTTAAGAACACGCTTCCACCTTTTTTCTTAGCTTTTGGGGAA